CAGTTTCTTAAAAAGTTAAACACAAATGGGTCAATTTGTGACCCAGCCAATCCACTCCTAGGTATTTACTCAAGATAAATGAAAACATATGTCCACACAAAGACTTGTATATGAATGTTCACGGCAACTTTATTTGGAATAGCCCCAAACTAGAAACAGCCCAAATGTCCATCAGCGGATGACTGGATAAACACATTGTAGTATATCCATACAATGGAATACCACTATAATAAAAAAGAATAAACTTTGGATACATGCGGCAACATGCATGACTCTCAAAATGATTATACTGAGTGAAAGAATTCAGACAAAAATGAGTACATACTGTATGACTGTATTTATATAAAGTTCTAGAAAATGCAATCATAGCAACAGAAAGCAGGTCAGTGGTTGCCGGTGTGTGTTGGGGGCTGTGAAAAGAGGTGAGAAGGATGGATAACAAAACATCATGAGGAAACTTAGGGGTGGTGGGTATGTTCATTGTCTCAAATGGGGCGATGGTGTCATGGGAGTATACATGTGTCAACTCTTATCAGATCACACACTGTAAATACATGCAGCTTTTTATAGGACAGTTATATCTCAATAAGGGTGTAAAACACATATTTTGCAGATAACTGCACACACAAGAAGTGGCGTCAGAGATTTGTTCTGTGTCATTATCTTTTGGGTTTGCCCAATGGAAATGATTGACCTTGTCTTGGCTGACTTGGAGGAAAGGAGGTGGCGATGCAGTACTAGGTAATTTGGGGATGGTCCCTTTACCTCCTTGAGCCTCGGCTTCCTCATCTGTAAGATGGGAATGTGTCTTGCTGCCCTGCTTTCTCCATGAAGCTGATTTGAGGAAAAGTAAGTGACCCTGCTTTCAGTGACCAAATGTGAATAACCAAATTTCCCCATCTATATAACAAGCACTTACCAAGCACATGGTGGCAATCCTAGTCTTGGACAGTGAGGCTGAAGGGCAAGCCAGATCACAGAAGGAAGGCTTGGTGTGTGTGTCGAGGGGTTTGGGTTCAAATCTGTGGACACTGGATAGGCGCTGAAGGGTTCCAAGACAGTCACAGCTCACTCTGGGAGGCAGAAGGGTTCATTCATCCGGCCCTGCTCCAATCTTCCCCAGGAGGGTTGCTTTCTCTCTAGCAGGGCTTCTTAACCGTGGCACTATTGACATTTGAAGCAGGGTAATCCTTTGTTATGGGCGGCTATCCTGTGCCTTGTAGGATGCTTAGCAACAGCGTCGTGGGCCTCTACCCCCTGGATGCCAGTAGTACGCCTCCAGTTGTGACAACCAGGCATTTTTCCTGGGGTGGTAAAACCACTCTTGGTTGAGCACCACTTCTCTAGAGATTTGTTTTTTTTCTTTGAGTCTGTATACAGATGGTTCTACCTATATTTGCCCTTTTCCTTCCTTCTAAGTCCTGGCAACACCTGGCTTCCAGCCTTTCCACGAGGTACACAGCTGGATAGTGCCCTTGGCTCTGTGCACAGCCTTGTGTCAGCACCTGTGGTTCAAGCTCTCTGCTCTTGGGGGCCCTAGTTGGGCTGGCTGCAGGGAGCCAGCTGGCAGCAGCTCCGTCTACCTCTCCATCCGGGCAGCAGGGCATCTAAGCCCTGGTGGGAACACCACGTGGTATCGAGGAGACTCCTGGACTGGTTCCCACCTGGAGGTCAGCTGGGACCAGAACTGTTTAAGCCTGTTGGCCCTGCCCCCTCTGTAACTCAGTCCCGCTGGCTGCCAAGCTGATGGCCTGGAGGGACGAGTCAGCTCAGGAAGCCTGCCAGGGCAAGGGCATCGGGCTGGGGACAGGAGGCAGGTGGTGGCAGCTGGAGACCATGTGACTGCTGGAGGCAATGTGTGTCACAGGGCAGAGCTGGGCCACCGGCTCATTCCTGAGCTCAATCTGAGAAGGTCTCACATGACTTCTCTATGGGAGCCTGCGTGGGTGCGGGGTGGCGGGGATAGGAAGTGGGAGGAAGGGGGAAATGATTTTAGGATCCAGGCTGAAAATACAAAATACATTAGTGAATCACAAGCAGATATTCATCACATGACCCCACTGGCTCTGCCAATGCAGAAATCAGGCTTTGGGCACAAAAATGTCTCCCACCCCCTGCTCTGTGTAGGCTGTGGCTGCTGAGCGGGGCACTACGATTGGAGCAGGCGGCAGGGGAGCCAGCCATACCATCAGCCTCCATCTCCCAAAATGTCAGCAAAACCAGAACACAAAACCAGCCCCCCATTCCAGCACTTTCCATATGCTCATTCATATGTTAGTCTCACAACAGCCCCATTTCCCAGTGAGAAAACCAAGGCCTTGAGCGATTCCTCCGAGTTTTCTTTCCTTTTCCGCAGGATTTCCAGGGTTCAATAGGGTTTTGTGTTTGTTTTAATACTATCACCAACAGCTCCCGCTACCTCACCGTGACCCCAGAAGACAGATGCTGGCATGTCCTTCTTGCTGGCGGGATGAGGTGAGGAGTTTTAACATCACCCCCTCTCCAGCAGAGAGGCCTCCATGCTGCTGGGGGCGGGATCCCCAGCAAAGCGATCAGAAATGCAGGAGAGCGGAGTCAGGCAGGCTCCAGGCTGCCAGCCTGAGAAAGGGCCTGGCGGAGCCTCCGAATGCCCGAAGGCTCCTACCCCAGGAATGAGGGGAAAGCCCCGGGGCTCCTCCAGCAGCCCCACCTCACAGCTCCCAGTGAGCCAGGAGCTTTATTTAGTTGTGCCGAAACCCCACAGACCTGGATCAAGACTCTTAAACCCATGTTCTCACCGTCCAAGAGAACAAAAGCTCGTGAGCAGGCTCTGTCCTTCTGGGAAGACAGCCACCAGCCTCGTGGTTGCCGAATGTCTCACCTTTAGGGTTACTGTTTTCAAAATAGCACACAATATATTTAATCTCATTACATAAGCAAGATATGCTTAGTGTAGAGTACTTGGGAAAATTCAGAGAAGTATAAAGAAGGTGAATAAAAATTCCCCATTATCTCACCAGAGACAGCCACTGCTAACAGTGTGGGATATAGCTTTCCCATCTATTCTTGAGTCACGGATATGTACATAAGCTCGAAAAGGTAAAATCACAGTAATATATTAGATGCATTTAAAAAATATTATTGAGGCATAACATACATAATAAAGGGCACAAGCCTTCAGTGCACAGCTCAGTGCATTTTTACATGTTATTGCACCCATGAGACCATCACTCAGATCAGGACATTTCTAGATCCCAGAAAACTACCCCCTGCTCTTTCTCACTCCATTACCGAAAAGTAGCCGGTATGCTGACTTCCACATTCCAGATTAGATTTGCCTATTCTTGAGCGTCACATAAATGGATTCATACAGTATTCATTCTTTTATGTCTGGCTTCACTCACCCAATCCGTAGAATCTACGACAAGGCTTGGCCTAGAAAAGGTGCTCAACATGGGCACGTTAACTGTATGTTGGATGCATGCTGCATCATGGGATGAATCGGTGAGTGAATTCATGAGTAAGAACAGGCTGTGGTTATGGGACGGTCTCCTGTGGTTTTCAATTACCATCTGGTGGTCCATGTAGAGAAAGGAGAGCAGTTAGTGGCTTGTGTAACGATCCGGGTGAGCGGAGCTCAACCTGATCTAAAGGGAAGGCAGTGGAGAGAGAGAGGAGGGAGCAGATTGCATAGGCCTGTCTGCTTGGCACTCATGAGGGTTGGGTTGGTGCCCCATAAGCAGCAAGACCAGGGGTATTTTTAGAAACCCTATCACAGCAGCCACTTGACCCAGTGGCTGCCTCATTGTCACAGTGTCCCATGGCAGAGTCTCCACCCTGAGTCAACCTTCAGTGCTATGAGCCCATTACCCTCTGCTGAGCAGGTAGGTGGCTTATGGTGATGACCAAGCACACTGTGAGAGGACCTGGGCGTTTCTGGAGAACGCTCCACTGGGAAATGCAGATACCTGGTTCCTGGAGAAATGGGTCCTATTGTCCTGCACCCCAAGAAAGGGATGCTTACTCCATAGGATCAGAGTCATGGCATAGCTCCCAGCAGTGTAGCCCCTTTTCCTATTTAAAGGTCTCAAGGTTAGAAAGCACCCCTTTCTTGCCCCTCATGCCACCTGGGGCTCGAGCCCCTTTGACATTCTTTCCAACACGGGCTCAGCTTTCATACCGTCTTCTGCCCCTTTTCTATTATCACGACCCTAGACCCAGCCACCATCCCCGCTCACCTGTCTTTAGCCACCTCCTTTCTCCACCTGCTCTTGTTTCCTCTTATCCATCCCACTCTGAGCCGCTCTAGCTGTCCACAGTTATAGCTGGACACTTCAGGAGAAGGAGAAATATTACTGAGGAGGGATAGAGTCGTGGTTAGCAAGAGGGGGAGCCACCCTGAGATGCTGCTGGGGCTAAGAGGTTTGATGGAGTGGGACAGAATCAACAGTGCTGGGACGACCCAGGTGAGCCCAGTACCAGGCAGGATCTTATTATTTGATGAAGATTCATTGCCCTTAATGGGCAGAGGACACGAAAAGACATTCCTCCAAAGAATATATACAGATGGCCAATAGACATATGAAAAGATGCCCAACTTCACTAATCATCAGGGAAATGCAAATCAAAACCACAATGAGATAGCACCTCACACTTGTCAGAATAATATATATGTATATATGTATATACGTATATACGTATATATGTGTGTGTATATATATATATAATATATATAATGAACTATTACTCAGCAATAAAAAAGAATGAAATCTTGTCATTTGTGACAACATGGATGGACCTAGAGGGTGTTATACTAAGTGAAATAAGTCAGACAGAGAAAGACAAACAGTGTATGATTTCACTTCTATGTGGAATTTAAAAACAAAGGAAGCAAATGAACAAACAAAACAAAATGAAAACATACTTATAGAAACAGAGACCAAAGGGGTAGTTACCAGAGGGGATGAGGGGTTGGGATGGGTGAAAAAGGTAAAGGGGAATGTAGTCAATAATATTGTGATTAGTTTGCATGGTGGCAGATGATTGCTAGAATTAGTGGGGTGATCACATTTTAGGGTATAAAAAGATCAAACTACTATATTGTACACCTGAAACTAATATAACTAATATACTATTGTATATCAACTGTCCTTAAAAAAAATAAATATGTAAATGAGTCACTGTCCTTGACCGTTTTCCTGGGCCTGGGAGATGAAGAGGAGGGGGCAGGCCCCAGGTTTTTTTCTCTAACACTGGGGAGATGGCGGTGGCTTGGGAGTGTAGATCGGTTCTTGATGAGTTTATGAGCTATTGGGGCAGAAGATTGTCATGTTATAAACTGCTAAACCACAGATGAACAGGCCTTGGACAAGCTGTTAGAACAACCAGTGCCGATTCTTGGGAGTGTTTGTGCAGTGTGTGACCTGGCGTAGTTGGTTAATGCTGTCCCACAGAACAACATTTCAGCTCAGCAGCACTTTGGGGTTCTACTCAGAAAGAGCCCACCCCTCAGCTGACTGCCGCTGTCCTCTGTCCTCAGTCGAGGGGGAGCAGCGTCAGGACAAGGCACCTGTGTCCATCTGTTAGGTCAGATGAAGGACCAAATCACAGGGTCAGTAATGCCTCCTGGGCAGAGACATGAGCTGAGCAGCTGTCTCTGACACGCCAGCCAGGACAGGTCCTCTTACCAGGGCACCCAGGTCATCACTGGGATTGTGAGTTTTCCTATGGTCAGAAGGGTATGTGGGTGTCACAGCTATGGTTAGAGGGAGGCAGGGGGCCTGCTCTTGGCCCCTCACATAGATATGAATTCAGGAATCTTTAAAGGAGGCTGTTATAGCCAGAATAAAGGATGCTCTCAGCATGCCATGTGGCTAAAGGGATGGGTCCTTGGTGTACTCAGAGACTGGCTGGGAAAGAGATGGCAGCTGAATGGGTTGCAGGTAAATAATTCCTAGATTGCAGAACATCCCTGAGCTTCATTTTCCTCTTTTGTAGAGTGAGTAAATCGAGATGAGGTGTACAAAATGCCCTGTAAAGTGAATGATGTTATATGACTGTTAAGCATTATTTTTCTGTTTAACATTTTTGTCAACAAGTTGGAAGAAAATACTAAATGCAGACTTATCAGATGTGGGCAGAAAATAAAGGTAGCAGGGCTGGCTGAGACACAGGTAAGAGGGACCTCAGATTACAGGATCTGAAAACTTTATGTCGCCCTGGTTTCGCTCCCTCGGTGCCCCCTCTGCATGACCCTTGAAAAACACAGTGTCCCTTAAGGAGCTGCACCCTTCATGGCATGCCTGCTGTCTCTGTTTAGCTCAGGGTTTCTTCATCTTGGAGCTGCTGACACTGTGAACTACATAATGCTTTGTTGTGGGGGCTGCCTGGAGCATTACAGGATGTTTAACAGATCTCTGGCCTCTACCCACTAGATGCCAGTAGTACCACTCCTCCTCCCCTTGTGACAACCAAGTGTCCCTAGGAGGCAAAGTCGCCCCTTCTCTAGCTTCATGGTTTGCACTTTTCTGCCTGCATCGTATGAGGCTCTGGTCACATCGAAGTACATGTGACCCCTTAAATAAGCAAAGCTTTTCCACATCCTCCCCACAGTGTTGCATACATAGATTCCTACTCCCGTCATCCCTCCCCAGGCCTTTGGAGCTCCACAAAGCCCTGCTTATCTTTGAAAACTCATCTCAAGCATCCCTTCCTTGAGGACATCATCTCCAAGGCTCCTAGGTGCCAGTGTCCTCATGGCATACTTTTTCTGGAAACCCATCTGCATGGTTTTATTTGTTTGCTTGTGTTTGTCTCTCCCACTAGCCTACAAGCTTCTTGAGGGCAAATCTTGGATCTTGTTCATCTTTGCTCTCTAGTGCCTGGTACATGGCCTGGCACAGACGTGAGCTCAGTAAATCCTAGTTGAGTAATATTGTTTAATGACTCGTTATGGGCTGATCACAGGACATAAAATGCTCTAGTCCAAATGAGAACATTTCCTGGATCTTAATAAAGCAGAGAGTCTAGTGCTCCATCCTCATGCAGCACAGCCCAATGTCATCTCTTGTGCAGAGAAAAACCAACATATTATTATTTTAATCTCCAGGGTGCTAGAGAGGTGAAGGGGAGTTGTGCCTGGGAAAAACCTCTTTCAGGCTCCACCCTTGAGAAAACCTTGGTGTGGCTGCAGCAGGAAGCACTTTCCCTTTGAAAGGTACTGAGGATGGACGTGGACTCCAGCCAAACTTTCTGCTTCCATCCCTCTGGAGCAAGGGACTCTACCAGGTCCTTAAATGCAAATGAGATCCCTGCTGTCCAGGAGCAAAGCCCCCCACCCTGCAGCTCCCAGCACCCTTGGCTACGGGACTTTCTCCAGCTCTCCCCTCTGCATTGTCAAAAAGGGAACAGACTGCGCAGAAGGAACGCGTTTGGTGCTGAGCCCGGAGCCAGGGCAATACTCGGCAGATCCAGGCAATCTGCTCCGTTCCTCCCAAGGAGAGAGGAAAGGCTTTTATGACTTGCTGACAACCGAGTCAGCGATGGGAAAAATCTCTGGGTGGCGAAACCTAAGCAAAGCAAGAGACACCCCCCCACACACACACGGATGCACCTTGAAAAATAAAATGAAGAGTCCCTGGCTTTAAATGCCCAGGCTTCACTGTGTGTGTGTGTGTGTGTGTGTGTGTGTGTGTGTGTGTGTGTATTAAAAGCAAACTCATGGACTCTTAATAAAAAGCCGTCAAGTCCAACCCCTGCCGTGCTTGAATAGCACTGATGGTCCCTCTGGCCTCTCCCTCTCACTTGGACACCTTCAGTGACAGGGAACTCTCACTGTTAGATAGCTCTGTCTAGTAGAAAGCTTTTGGTTACTCTAATGGCTAACCCTTTTGTCCCAAGTCCAAGTCTTTGCTCCACTTGGAATCGGGCCAATCCTTCTTCCCCAGGAAAGATTTTCAGAGGCAACTACTTTAGCACCCTAATCTATTCTTCTGGCTAAACAGACACAGTTCATTCAACTGTCCTCCCCGTGACACAGTTTTGAGTCTCCTCCCTTCCTGGTCACTCTTTTCTTGTCACCACAATAGGTAACACAATACCCCCACTTGTCTGTAGTTCTCAGAGAATAAGTTATTTGGGATGGACAAGTTTTCCAGAGGGCCGAGGACTTATCTCTTCAGCAACACACTTTAAAAAAGCATGACAGGAAGATTTCAAGCATGCAGGATACAGGTTGCTTTTAGAGTGGGCACATCTCTGCCAATTCTCTCTCTGACATTTCTCATCACCTCTGACTTCGTCTCTCGACACCTCTCCCCATGCGTCTCCCTGCACCTCTTTGCACGCCACCTGCCTCCAAGACTGGACTTTCTGTGCCATCGTGGAAAAATAAAAATCTAGGACCAATGAGAGAAAGCTGCAGAAGCCAGATCAAAGCTGGACAGGTGACGCACCCGTTCAACAAAGGGAAGGGTGACACCAGCTAGGAGCAAGCTCTCTACCCTGAAGGTGTCAGGCAGAGGCATTTGGCAGGGTGCTCTTGAATGCACAGATCTGCTAGGGTTTGGGCAAGGTGCTCCCAGTCTCTCCCAGCCCTGTGATTTCGTGGGCCAAGATTCCGTGATGGCGTTTTAGGTG